GCAATTTCATTATCGCTTAGCATAAAAAATAATAATTGAAATGGCTCAATGTGTTCGTAAATGACTAAACATTAAAAACACTCCGTACCAGACAACTAGTGTGAATTAATTTAAATTACCGAAAACAGGAAGGCCACGCGATTACAACAAATGCATTGTTTCCTATAGAGGTCGAAACTGATAAGCATATCGCGACCTCGTGAATGCGGAAGAAATCGTTTCAATATTATTTTACCAAATTGCGACGGAGGGTACCGATGTAACCAGAAGACGGAGGAAGGTGCTAACTTTTTTGTCAGTTAAACCGCTTGGTAAATATATCGTCCACAAAGGAACTTCAAGGTTGACCTCGTAGATAAGGCTTGATAATTTGGGACATGCACAGTCTGCTTGTGAGTGTTTACCACAAGGATGTTTCGGTAAAAAAAAAAATAGAAATTTGGTGTTATTACATATAATTATATAATATACATAACTAGCTGTGCCCCGCGGTTTCACCCGCGTCATCACGTGTTGGAGGTGCGCGACATGACCTAGCTCAAGTATTTTATAATTGAAATTAAATATTTTATTTGATAGCAATGGATGGAAAAATAATTAATGGCATAATTAATGGAGTACTTTTATCTGTCGGCATAATATGTATGATGTAGAGCGAAGTTAAGTTTTATCCACTTTCCCTCCCCCTCCCGGTTGAGCAGTTCTCGCCGTTCTCACAGGGCGACTAAGGTTTTGTGTCGTTCTCGCGTCCAGCCAAGTATTGAATTATTTTAATTTTACATTATCTCTTAAACTATGCGTCCAAATAACATGGTATAAGTAAAAGTCCAAATAACATGGTATAAGTAAAATGGTATAAGGAACAAAGTTTATCTTCATAAAATTGTTTTGATGATGAAGTAACTTTCGTTCGTAAGGATAAATAGGCCATGCCTAATAATAACGCTCATAAATCACTTTTAATTTTTCAATATTTTTTTGTCACAAAATACCAAATTATGGCTTATGTATAAGAAATAGACATATGGTATCGCGGACTTTTTTTTAGACAGAGTAAAGGTATATTTTTCTAGAACATTGTATTTACGTATCCCTAACGATAACACCAGCGTACGCGGATAAATCATTTCGGGAGTGCTGTTTCTTCTGACTTGCTTAACAAATATCCATATTTAAGGCTAGCTGAGTAATATAGCTTAATGCTAGATAGCCTATACTATTCCACATGAATCTGGCTATAATATACATAAAGAATTTTTCAAATCGGACTGGTAGTTCCAGAGATTAGCGCGTTTAAACAAACAAAAAAACAAAAAAACTCTTCCGCTTTATTATATTAGTACCTATAGATATACATTTTTGAGCATCTTTGTGTGCACATGTTGAATTAGATAATTAAAAAAAGATGAAAATACAGTTCATTCCTTACTTCACTCGCAAAGTTTTACACATTAAAGCAAGGCGATATTGAATAGGATATATAGCACTCAAAGACTGGTTTGTCATAGTTATGTTAGCTTTTATATTATTTAATTTACATAACATTATCTCGCTACGCCCAGATTTGATAATGAATTCCTAAAGCACAAGTTGATACATGGTAAAGCCATGCTGCAGCTTTTTACTGAAAACAAGGCATTACACGACAATGATGTGACAAGGTATCTGCATTTTGATCTTCAATCGAGGATAGATCTATGGGCCACAGAATCCACTTACTATCAGGTGAACTGCGTGATCGTTTGTCACCCTTAGATATTCATTAAAAAAAAGTTTGCCTTTTTTAACCCTTTGTATATAGGTTAAACAATAAAGTTTAAATAAATAGATAAAAATAATTAAAAACATAATACTATCGCTTTCGAAGGAATACGAGTATTGTGTTATGTTAAACTAATATAAAATAACTTAAAATTAAGTAATAATAAAAATCAAAGTATTCGCACTACAACTTACAATCCGTCAACAGCGTCATGTTGAAGTGGCTTGATAGAATAATACCTCCTCCACAGCCTTGTCCCGGTTCTGTGACCCAGTTACTGTTTCCAGAGCAGGATATTCCGTTACGAACAGTGTGACGATAAAGAAATGCTATTTCCACTAAATCTTAAACGCAAATAGTGCACTTCGGAAAATTAAGAGCAAACTACATGCATTTTAAAAATAAACTTTGTTTAAAATAAAAAGTAAGTAATAAACTGGATTAAGACAAAGTATAATGACATATTTATGAGCAATCCAAAGCACTGTGCATCACATCTAGAATATGTTGCGTAATTTGTTACTATTATAAATATAGCAGCCACCGTGACACACCGAATGCATGGGCGATGCACGGTGCACGCGACGCCGCTGACTCAATGTGCTGCGGCCAGGTCAAGGCTGCGCGGACGACGGCTAACGATGCGATGACCTGGTTCCGAGCTCCAATATCTGTCCTCAATTCGAACCTGTCAACTGTTCTAGAAATTACAACGACGGATACACACCCGAAGCCCAATTGATAGTAAGTAGTAAGGCCGCGTAATAAACGCGTGTAAATCTGTGAAGCGGTCATAATATTTGGCTAAGCGTGTTGTCCTCTCTCAAATATAGTCGGCTTATTTGTTTTTTTTATTTCGTAATTGAATGAAAAATGACGGAAAAAACTGACCGTCTTGACAAAACTGACAAAACGTTATTTGTTGATAGTGTCGGGTTGAAATTATGGTCTAAGAAGTCTTTCTAACTTAAGTAGTCTTTCTCGAAATTTGACATTTGACATACTTCACACATTTGGTGTCAAATTACATACTTCACATTAAGCAAGTTTTCGCGGGACTTCTTTCATGAAACAGACTGTAGTTTAAACCTCAGACTAATTATAAATACTTTTTGTAATAAGGCAGTGTGGGTTTGACGGTATTTAATTGCCAGCGACTATAGAACTTTACCGAGTAGTGACGGTGTAAGAATATCCACTACCCCATATCAACCCGTAGGTGTCGTAAGAGGCGACATAGGGAAACAAATCAGGACATGGGCAGCAGCGTCTTCCTAATAACGACTATAAATAAAAAACTGCGGTTTCCAACCTGCTTGCCAGGCGTGGCGAATATGCAAATATCCCCCCTATGAAGCAATATATGGGTTATGTTCAGCGGTGGACTTTAATAGGCTGTATTGGTAACAGTCTATAGAACTTGAACTATTTTTAATTAAGAATACGATAATATTGAGCAATTATATTAATCATGGAATAAAAATATTCCGTAGTATAAAACCAAAATGAATCAATATAACGATATAATATATAAACATACGCCCTCGTTTCAAATTCAGCAAATAAAATTTCAATGTTAAAACTTTGCTCTGAGGTCAAAAGTAATTAACACCAATATGTAAATTATTTTTGTAATGAAGGACAACGTAAGGATTAAAATGAGTCAGATTTTACATTAATATTTGTTTTCCGGGTGTTTTGATTAATTAAGTACTAAAAATCTATTAACATTTAATTTCCTTTTGGTATTAATTTTAAAAAGCTATTATTTTAATTAGTCATTCAATTTAGCGTCAACGTTTTTAATTATTCAAAATAAAACCATGGACACTCGTTGTTGGTTATAGTTTTAATCACATTTTTGGGATCTACGTTCTCAATATTAGAGTTTCATGATCTAATATGTGATCATCGTCACAGATTTTCTTAAAAACTATGTTCCACTTAGATAAAAGCGATAATAAATTTACAGTAGTCCTAAGTGAGCACCAGATAATTCATTCTCCCAGCCACTCAATGGCTTGAAGGTCTTCAAATGAGTCGAGGATGTTTATCATCAAATGGTTAATCACGCAGTGCGCTTGCCTCCTGTGACCCATATATATCAAGCGGCCTTTGCTCCTCCCCCGATTCAAATGCTACACACTCCGACAATGCCGTCTCGTTGATTTTTGACGCCATATGAGTTTTCTCATTTAAATGTTAATTCACATATCTATAGCAGGTGCAAGTTACATAGATATATATATGTATAATTTATCATTTATGATAATTCCTTATTCTTGTTACATAAATGATCTAAAGAAGTATCGAAAATTAAGAATTTAAAAAAAAAAACGATTTACAAACATTTTGTAAGTGTGTAGTGTAGTCTCTACGTATTGCCTTGTGTTGTTTTTACTTGGTTTGTATTTTCGAAATCATATATTGAGATATAACAACGACTAAATTGATCACCGGGCTTTTTATAAGATTCTAATAATAAATATCGACATGTGCTTGAAAAAAAAATCTTGTTTTTGTCATAAAATAATTGCTAGGGCTGTATTGTAGCACTAGCATAGCTTATAAGAAACGTTTAAAAATATAGTAATTCCATCGAGATTTCAATACATTAAAGCTGATCTTAAAACCTAATAACATCAGTTGATATTTAATATCGATAAAATGAATATACTTACGTCTTTGAGAATATCCATTATGTCATGTTAGGCACATAAATAAATGATTTATAGGCAGTTCATAATATGTATCACAATGTTTTTTGTTGTGTAATTATTTAAGGCACGACGTCAATACGTTTCGTTGTCGTTACATTATGCCCAAGCGACTTGTAGTGACACGGAAACTGATTTCTTATGTAGAGGGTTTTTCCAATATCGAGTTGAAAGACCGCGAAAAATGTTACAACATGATGCAATCGCAAAAAGTTGTGCCAGGAGTGAGTTTAGCCTCCCATCCGTGGAATGTAGGTGCAAAGATATACAAATAATCCGTTTCGCCACCATCGTGTTAAGCTGCATAAAACAGCTTTAGGTCAATTATCCGGATATATTTTTATATATTCGATCAATCAGTTTGCCGAATTCGTATAAATGTCATTTTCCTCTGTCATCCTTTGCTATGTAACACCTTGTTGCTGGCAAATGCCTGCACGTTACCTTACGTAATTGGTTGAGACACTCGACAAACATTGTTATCTCAAGGGCACGCCGATCGGTGCAGGACGTCGAACAACTAGAGCGTTCATGGCTCGAGCTGAAGCGTGAGCCGATGTAGTCATAGAATAACGCCGTGTTATAACACTTACATGCATTCCATAGATAAAATTTAATGCATTCTGACTTTTAACGTTGCTGGAGAAATATTTTACGCGTACAAAAGACATCAAAATAATCCAGTGATAATAATACTTTTTTTAAATTATGAAATGATGAAATCGTTATATTAAAAATATGAACTTGCGACTGTATAAGAATCAATCGGTTGAAAGAGTGTACATCCAAGTCCAAGTCCACTTCTGAACAGACTACATCCAAGTCCAAGTCCACTTCTGAACAAGGGTCTGCCTCCTTCTAAGGAGGTTTTACCTCAATCGTCACGCTTGCCAAGCGGATTGAAGTTTTTTTTTTTATAGAACAAGGGTGACAAACGAGCACACAGTTCACCTGAAGATAAGTGGAAGCTGTGGCCCATAGACATCTATATTTATCCTCGATTAAGAATCAAAATGCAGATGCGTTGTCACCCTTGAGGACTAAGATGAGGCAATCATTTCCAGTAAAACGGGTCTCCGGTTCCCTGCACTCACTATACGAAACACAGCGGCATTAAGCTGTTATTTTACGCCGGTATTCTGTGAGAGCGTGGTCTTTCCCCGGTCGAGCAGACCCATTCGTGCTTCAACCATAATATAGCTGTAGTATGGCTCTATCACGTTTAAATGTTTATGATTCGAACTTAGTCAAAATTATATAAATAAATATTAAAATGTCAAAAAATATGATCACTGGGTGTATCAAGTAAGAACCAAGCACACAATATCTAACTGCTTTGAATAATATAAAATATGGCGGAAAAAGTAAAGGCAGAAATACGCATATTCACACATTTATCACAAGCAAACATTGCACATACATATTTGCAATTATTTTAAAAAATATATAGTTTTTCCTATAAATTATGGAAATTTATCCTCTTAGCTTAGTTTTAACATGGAACATTGAATTCCAGTGTTTCGAAGTCACAGTACGCACTGTGCTAATTTTACCTACGTTTTATGTATAGTCACATAGATATTTAAGTTTTAGGTCATCTTTAAAGTCCTATAAATGTTCAAATAACAAAACACGTTTTATAGTAATGACAATAATATTTTAGTATTTCAGCAATAACAAAAGCATAAATCTAATGATTTACACGCACGGAAACATAATAAAGCGCATTTTACAACGAACGTCAGTTTAAAGTATAAAGAGCTCGAAGACGCTTTGATTCATACACGTCCAGACTACTTCCGGCAAACTAGAGAAGTGTTCTATTTTCTAAACTCCTGACAGTGCTGCTGATCGAACTATATATAGAAACTATCATAATAATTATGTATTGGAAACAAAGTACAGCGCGTGACCAGTTTGGCGCAGCTGTCTAATTGATATTATTATTTTTTTAACATAAATGAAAATACTGAGGTGTGTTCGTATCGTGAATATCGTATGTACTCTCAGCAACGAAAGTGTAAATGCCAAAGGCCAAATATTAAAAGTCAAGTAAAATTTAACTCCTCAAGTCATTATTATTTAGTTACTTATACCTACCTCTACCTACAGCTACTGGTAAGTACTGTGTAATATTCAGAACGGCCAATAACATCATCAGCTTTTGTGAATTCATTGTAATAATGCGTTCAAAGATTTAAAAATACTTTTTACTTAAAATTTAATTAATGGTTTTTCGTAAGAGAATAATTAGAGAAGTAATCGATGCTGAAGCAAGGTTCTCGAGTGGCAGCTTCATACCGATGGAGTGACGACCTGGACATGCAGGAAGTCGATGGATACAAGTGGCTCAGGATCGTTATTTGTGGCATTCTTTGGGGGAGGCCTATGTCCAGCAGCGGACTTGTGAAGGGCAGTGATGATGATGATAACGATGAATAAGAGAAGTCAGATGAGAAAATATGATTGCTTTTTCACTTAGATTAGTTAGTTAGTTAAATCAGTTTTCCAAACGCTATTTTCATTTACCATTGGACACTCCAGGAAAATGCATATTTTTATTAAATAATAATAATAAAATAATATAATCTTGTATATATCATCTTTTTTTGCATATTTATAAGTCCCAACCAGACGAGAATACTACAAAATATACGGAAATTAACTGTATACAAGTACAAATAATTTCGATATAAAACTTATGTAAAAAAAAAAGTACGACATGCTACTATTTCAACAAATTGTTTAGTAACGAAATACGTCTTAACGATATTCAAATTTGTTTCGGTTTAGATGTGACTTTTAAAATTATTATCTTTATTGAATCTAATCGAGAAGCATGTACTTAAAAAATATTACACGTTGAAATCTAATAAATAGGAGAGCCAGCTGTAAATATGATGACTGTCATTGAAATGTCAGACAATGCGTGGATTAAAAATATATGCTGCAGTAATAATGTATGTAAACCGCGTGAACTTGTCTGTGCTCTATAACTTGCGACAAGAGAAGTCGATATAATATTATAGTGTAGTAAAGAGTGCACTAACCATCTTAACGAAAACATTCGCGTTGATTTTATATACATACATAAACATTTATATTATTTTGATTTTATATTTTTAATATTCGGAATATCTCTATACTTATAAATTACCTGCTTGTACCTAACCTAGGTTTTATATTATAAAATAGAACTAATTTGAAATAAAGTAAGTTGTTTACTTTAAAAATTGTTATTTATTTATTCTCATTCATTAGAGGAAACGCAGTCAGCGTTTTTTGGCACTTACTTAGTTTTCATGATAATTTTAGTTTTTTATAATTTTTATTTTTATGTGCCGTGTAGTGGCGATAAAACAGAATCTACTGCCCTACATCATCCCGTGGGTGTCGATCGGTAGTAGGATCTTGATAGCTGATAAAAATCACTTATACAAAACTCAACTCAATTTTCCTTCGCTCTTTCTCCAATTATGATTTACAGTTGCAGGTTTCAGGTATACTTTTATTTCTCTACTAGCTGTTCCGCGCGATTTCGCCCACGTGTAATTTAGGGTTTTAATTTTTTTGCGAGGAACCCTAATTCTTTTTCTAAAGTAAAAGTAGCCTAAGTTACTCGTTATGGCATTAGCTATCTGCCAGTGAAAGTCCCGTCAAAATCGGTCCAGCCGTTTCGGAGCCTAATCGGAACAAACAGACAGACAGACAATTTTTTTAATTGTGTTCTTGTTATAAGTACCGTATATATATTCATATGCATTGAGTAAAAAGCTGTAATTTTTACATTACAAACAGACACTTCAATTTTATTTATTTGTATAGATTTCTCCCAGGGTTGACTGGTGGAGAATGCCTCATGGCATTCAAGTCCGCGTATTGTAACCCTTAGTTTATGGTGTCTTGCAATAAAGATTAAATAAATAAAATATTATATTTTGAATTTGCTTGTTCCTTGTTGCTTGAACATGTCTTAATGTTCATAATGGCTGATTAGCTGTTCCCCGCGACTTCGTCAATGTTGAATTTATTACTTTACGGATTTAATTTATTTACACGGAATCCTAATTCTTTTTCTAAATTCAGAAGTGGCAGTTACTCCTTATAACATCAGCTATCTCCCAGTGAAAGTTCCGTTAAAATCAGTCCAGCGATTTGGAAGATTAGCCGGAACAAACAGACAACATTTTTAAAAATTGTGTTGTTGTTATAAGTACCGTATATACTTTTATATGCTATGATATTACAAATAGACACTTCAATTTTATTTATTTGTATACATTATAATCAATTTTTCTCCACTGTAAGTTTTTGCGATTTAAAACTCCAAAATGATTTACAAGAATTGATGATTAAAGGGCAGCCCCACAAGCGAACGTTGCAAAGTCGACTATGCTATTATCGGTTATGTTTAATAATTAAAAGTCAAAAGGTTTCGCATTCATATTGTTTATGGCCATTGTAATTACAAGTCTCTTTTATCCGTTCCCGTCACAATAAATTGCGGTTCGAAAAGAAATCGCAAGACAGCCGTCTTGCGATTTCTTCTTAAATCTTGTGATATTTTAGATTTTAATATTGTAATCGTTGCAAATTTATTGAGTAGATAATAAAATATAATCTAATAATTTAAAAATCTCACTCATATATATTCGTCATGGTAAATCACGAAACCAACATTACGACTACATAGCGTCTAACGTGAGTTAAAGCTTGTTTGGACTTCGCGCTTGATGCCCGAGGCCCAAGGAGTCATTCCGCTGTTACACCTAGCAGGAACAATAGCTACGGCGGTAAAGTAGCCCGTCAACCCGGTATGCACATAATATTACATTCCTCCCTGCCAATCGTGACGATAAGTTACGATGCTATAAATTGTGTATAGTATGACTTGCCCATGACCCGTGCCGCATTCGACGCACGATGCCACTGTAAACCAAACTGGTTTTAATACAAAACTATTTTCACTTAATAACGTTTTACCTAGAGGTTTTTTATCCATAAATTGAGGATAATATGAAACTACGTAGTACATAATATACACATCATGTACTATTTAGGTACTTTATACGTTATTTCCGCTATATAAGACGAAAGAAGGGGATAATCTAATTCAATCAAAACTGATATTCTGCAATACCTACCTTTGTGTAAGTCTTGCGAAACTGTGTGACCGGTACCAACATTAAAACTGGTACGAGCTTTCTTCCAGTCGGAACAGTTACTCCATTAAAATAATATAATGAAATAGAAATAAAGGTCGCTCGATTAAAATGTAAATAATTAATATTATTCAAAATTCTATATAAAATCTTCTTTATAAAATTCATAAAAATAAACATTAATAAAAATAAAATTTTATTTAACATATTTCTAAACTTGATTAGATCCCATATCTAATTCCGTTTAAAAATATGTTAAATATTTTTATTGTAGAATCTAAACTTACTGTTATCTACAGTCTATCAAATCCACTAATGAACATAGGCCTCCCCCATAGATTGTCTCATAGGGTGGTTTTGCCATAGTTGCTATGTTTGGCAAGCGGGCCGGCTTTTTATTATTA